ATCTGCACGACTATACTGCCATTAATAATATTGAATGTTAAACAATTTTTTTTTTGTCATTTTTTCATTTTTTATTTTTAAAACACAGAAGTCAACCGAAACCTATTAAAGAATATTGTTATTTTTCTTTTTTGTTAAAAATACATTCGTCCTAAAAAATAGAACATAAAGAACCTGAAAGTATATTTTGTTTATTATGTATATAGATTCAAGTTGCGACATTGACATTACATATTTGTTTAGAGAATTAAAAAATCCGAAGGGAAAATCAAAGAATAAGAAAATAACTTTATACTTGAATAGGGGAAGAGAAAAAAAATATTTGAACAACTTTAGATGCACGTTCTACGGTTGTAATCTTAAGTAAATCTTTTTTTAAATTTTCAATAAAATTGGAAATGCAAAAAATTGAGCCATTGGCAATATTATTGAAGGCTTTGGTTCCTATAGAATGTTGTGAACATGGTTTATGTGCAAAAAAAAAATTAGGTTTGCCATCTTGCAATTTAGAACGTCGGTTTTATGAAAACATTGAAACAGTGGAGTGCAAAGCACTTTTCAAATATAAATCATTAAATATTTTACTCTCTATATAAAAGTATGTTGGCTTATTGCATACACTTAGGCGGAGAACTATTAAAAGAATCAATAAATTAATTAACTAAAATGTAGAATTTTATTAACTTTGAGTATAGCGTGCTATTTTGCCGGTCCTAACAATTTACTTTTGAAATGCATGATTCTAGTCAAATTATAGAATTAAACATTAATCAAACAAGTTCGAAAAAATGTGAAGTGTGAAACTCTTAAAAATGAGAGAAAATTTAAAATTTTTTTAATTAATATTGCGAAATAAAACAATTTTAGCCCTGAATAGGTTATAAAAATTAATTTACAATCACATGTCTTGATATTGAAAAGATATGGCAGCTTTGAAATGTTAACTATATGAAAATATTATGGTTAATTGAAAAAGAAAATAGTTACTAAACAAACGATCTAACAAAGTAGGTATAAAAGAAAAGATCGCGGCGATTTTATTTACATATTTTTTTTCTTCCTATACTTAGACTTACTATAAGTATTAAGTAAATGCTATTGTATAATATACTTAAATATATATATGAGCATTGTCTCTCACAGTAGCTTGTTGCACAGCTTATACTACTATTATAGAATTTATTGATTAGTTTTTTAAAAACCAATATGGTAAAATTGTAATTTTTTGCTGTTACTATTTTTATTATTTGTTTAAAGTTGCGTGCAGTGCAAAATATGTTAACATTACTAGTGCGGTATGGTGTGACATTATCAAAGTTAACAAAGAGTATACCTATACTTGTATAAAAATAAGGTACATGCAAGGAAAATAGTTAACACAGCATTGCCGATATCAACTTGTATTGTTTGTGATGGAATTCAGTAATTTATCAAGGAATTTAAATTTACGATACTTAAAAAAAACGGGTAAGAAACAAAAGGTGAGATACTTTTATAATTTTCTTATGGGAAAAAGTTTTGCTTTAAATTTTCTGCAATTTTAAAGAAATATTTTGCCTTTCTTGGACAATAATGTTTACCATTAAGAAATTTATTTTATTGAAAACCAATTATTTGTCACTTCTGGCAAACCACAAAAAAAAAAGAAAATAAAGGAGGAAAACAAATCGGGTCAATAATGTTAAGAGTTGAAAAAGGTTTCTATTTAAAATCTACTAGATTTATGTTAATTACATTTAAATACAATATAAATAGAGGTTTTGACTTCTAAATAAGTACAAAAATAAAGTATAGAAAATTTGTTAAAATTACAATCAATTTTGGACATCATTAGACGCCCTCTAACTGTTTGAGATTTTATTTTATTTGTTTATACTTTTACGCTTCAGGAAATCAAAGAAATTCATTTCTATTGGCGCGATGGTGTGGGATTAAAAATTAAGTTATCAGATTTTTTTCAATTTTGTTAGTTACAGTGATTAATTGTATTGCTTATAGCTGAAAGAAGAAAAATGTAAGATTTTAATTGAAAAGGTGATGAAATTGGCATATGTTGTAAGAATAGTGTGGGTTGGTTGATTTTTACTTCCTATATACGCTATAGATATTGATTGCAAAATAATTGAGAAATCAATTGTAAAACATTTTATTGGATTTAATATATTGATTATTGCATAGCTTAACATTTACTTAGATTTAATGTGATGATAGAAGAGGTAAGTGGACAAAGGGGTTAACTAACATTTTGACGAAAATTGGGCTTTTCGTATAAAACATCATTAAATTTCATATATTTTCAACTGCGATTACTCTTATAGTTAGAAACTTAATAAAAGACGAGATTACCAATGTGTTACAATGTGTTACGAGAAAAAATGTGTTACAATGCAAATGCGAGTTTACCCCCTTTGCCCACCTACCGCTTTATTATCAATTAAAAATAAAACGGAACAGATTTTGTAAGAACTACAGATTCTTAGTTCTTAATTAGAAGTTTTAAAAAATTTAAAAAAAATATTTGAATAATTAATAGAGTAATTGCCTAAAACTCTCCCCATGGATGTGTTTTATATTTTTATAATAACAATAAACATAACATACTTGACATGAATGAAAATAATTTGGAAAGACATTAAAATGGCAATAATGGCACGAATACAAAATCAAATGATTTACGAACATACAAGAATCGTTCTAACTTCATTAGTCAACTTTTTGTGTTGTTTTTTAAAAAGTAAAGTCTATGTGAATAAACCAACCCAAAATTCAAACGAGGTTGATGCACTTTATATGGTGTATGAGCGAATTCTTAAAAATTTTAATATTCGTATGATAGTCTGTATGATAGTCTGCTCGTATTTGAGTATATTGAGATATATTTTTAATAAAAATGGTGAAAAATTAAAAAATCTAATTTTTTGGATGTCTTATGTTAAAAACAACATCTAGGCGTGATTTTTTCAAAACGAGTAGAATTTTTTTAATTGACATTTTAGAGTATGAGACGATGCATTTCGTATTTTGCAAATGAATTTTTATGTCAGATTGACTATAAAATTTTTGACAATTTGATGAGAATATTAAAAATTACTCTCTTTCAAGGTAATGTAAAATATCGTTGAGTTTATATGCATATATTTTGTTAACATATGACAACAGAGTTTGTGTTATTCAAAAATCGAAAAGCATTGTTTTTAATTCTATAAAATCCTGTTATGGTAAATAACGTATAACATTAAAATCTCATTTTAAGAATATGTAGTACTATAGTAGTTCAACTACTTTTTAAATTGCTTTTTAACGCTTTTATTAATTTTAAAATAAGTTTTCTGAAAATCATAAATCAGTTGCTTTTTTTTAAAAAATTCAATTTTTCTTCTACAATGAAATATAATTTAATTTTATATATCTGAAGAAAAATCACGGTGGCACAAGAAAGATTAAATTGAGCGCATAAATTCAATTTTTGTAAATTTGCAAGTAATTTTTATATATAGAGAAAATTACAAAAATTTTCGTTGATAGCTTTATTCAAAATTGATTTTAAATGGAATTTTGTGTGAAGGCCAATATAAGTGCGTATATGTGTAAAAATAAAAATGCATTTACATATTATATAACGTATGTAAGTTATATCAAATATCTCTTGCAAATTTTTTGCTATTTGTTAAAGTGTACTATAAATGCAATCTCAATTTGTCTTATTTTTCTTCGGTAAATATAATGTTAATGTTAAATTTCATTTTTTAATGGAATTTGCAATTTAATGTTTCCAATGATGACTATCATATTTTTTTTTCATTTTTATAGTTTGTATACATTATACCTTTTATTATATAATATTAAATTTGTTCTTATTTTTTACTATGATGCTCTTGTATTTCTTTTAATGTTCATGTTCAAAAGAGAAAAGGACATAATAAAATTATGACTACCACTCTTTCTCTTTTTTTTTTTTTCCATTATAATTTATGTTTCACTATTAAAAAACATTATCATTTTGTTTGTGATTTTCTTCCGTTTTTTCTTTTCTCATTTTTCTCAACTCACAACTAGATCTCTTAATCCGAAATTAAAAGAAAAAAAATTAATCTTAAAATTTATTTTAGGTCTTCATTTATTTTGACTTAAACAGATATATTTGGTTACTGTATATATGAAAACTCTTATAGTAGAGATACAATTGAGTATTTGCATGGTATCATGTGCTTCAAAGATCATCTTTGCGGATCAAACTCATATGGTTGGTAGAATAGCACATTTCTCTTTGACAAATTAATTCTAGGGTTTATATAGTTTTAGATCTAGAGTAATGAAAATTTATGCTAACATAAAGCTACAGTAATTAATTTAGTTTATATATTGGCATACTCTTGGATAAGAGGATAGATGATTACTCTTGTATTTTAACTTATATAGAAATTCGACAGAGATATCGATGTCGAAGAAATGGAAGGCCGAAAATAAATATTTTGCAAATGCTTTAAGGGTTTATAAGTCAATAGAATGAGGAGTTGGAAGTGTTTCCAATTTGTAGCTAAAATTTCAAATTTAAGACTAATTAAAGTGGTCGTGTTAGAGGAAAATGGCTTCAAAAATTAGCAAGCAGCTTTAAGAATACGATTAACTTGATGTATAAATTTGATTTCTTATAATATAAAAAATTATTTCTCACCTTTTTGCATCAACAGAATTCACAAATTGCGTTTGCTTTGGACACAGTAGTTAGCACAAAAAATTTTCTAGCCTTAAAGAATTGTAACTTGGAGAGAAAAGGGGATTAAATATATTTCATTTTAAAAAAATATTCTTAATTTCTTTGACGTAATAAAAGTTTTATAAATAGACGAACGCACAGGCATAATAGAACTAATAGACACATTTTATTTTTAATTTTTTTTACAAATGTCCTTAAAAATATGAATATATAAATTTATAAAATCATTTATACTTTAATATGTTTTTTAAAATTTAAAAATTTTGTACACTTTTATACTTACACATCTCTTCTTCTTGTATCCATTCTAGCACCATTCTTATACCATATAGGATTTTTGAATGAACATTTAATATGAACTTCTGTATGCGTTGGAACTCTTTCATGAAGTAAAACATTTTGTTCTGTAAAATATAATTAGAAAATAAAATTTAACAAATAAAATAAAAAGGAAATAAGACAAGTAAAATTAGAAGAATAGAAGAAGAAATTTTTAAGTAATTTTTTTTTTTTTTTTTTTTGGTTGCAGTCAGCACGCAAATATAAATTGTCTACATTATGTAAAATGTGTAAAAGAAATAAAAAATAAAGTGATGGTTCAGTTGGTATTTTTTTAATCTTTAGAACAAAATTAGGAATAAAATATTATTAGACTTTAAATGTACGTACAAGTGGTTTGCGGTCATTTGCCACAAGATGTCGTTTATTTTTTGAGTAATTAAGTAGGTACTTGACGTATTAATCTAAACCATAGTACTTACAGAAAGTGTTTGATCGTTACTTTTTGTAAATAGAATCATATCCTGTAAACTACGTTTAAATTTGAGAATTTCAATTAGGGTTCTGTTGTGAAGTAAAATGAAATTCCAATTTTGAAACAAACAAGTTTTTTGTAATGTCAGTAGATATTAATTTACTTCGATTAGTGAGAGCGCACTGAAGAATTTTTTCGAAAACTGTCAGAATATTTCATTTAATATGTTGTTTACTACAGAAAATTGAAATGTTTTGCTTAATAAAGAGAGACGTATCTCTGCTCTTATTCTCTTTTTAGTTTACACAGTTGATGTCATTAGAACAGTTCAATGGCGAGGCGATAAAATCACATTCATATTACAGAGCGATAGTTATTTCCTATCATGTCGACCGGACTGTCGAGACAATTTTCTTGTTTATTTTATAAAAAAAAAAATTCGAAAAATAAAAAAATTAAAAATTCTAAGTGCATTTAACTGTGTACACATTAGGATCGTTTATAATTGCACTTCTGTTCTTTCGCATTTATTCGAATTATGTAAGCAAAACCAGAAAAAAAAAATCGAAAAATTTGTAATTTTTTTTAAAAGTATGTATAATGTCGGTGTTTTGTAGTTCACTTAAAAAGACAAAAATATTATGTTACTTTTTCAATTGAAACATTCAAATATTTTTTCCTCTTTTTTTTTTTTAGATTTTTTTAATATGTTTTTGGGCAAAGCAACCAAAATTTTTGTGGTTTGTCTTCTTATTTGTCTTATATTCTTTGAACTCTTCGGTTTTTATCTTTTTTTTTGTATCGATTAAGTTTTCCATGCCAATCGGTTTTTTTTTTCCATATTTCACTCTTTGAAAATGAACACCTGGAATGAACTACATACATACTTACATTTAAGACTTTGGCAAAGTCAAAAAAATTTTGAATCAGTAGTTTTATACATTTTGATTTTCGGAAAAAGTTGGCAAAATATGTAATATTTATATTTTGATTGAAATTTAAATTGAAAGTTTTTCGAACTAATGAGGACGTACAATGTAGATTTTATAAAGGAAAACAATATCTGGAAATTAAAAATTTTTAAGTTTTTGATTTATTTACTGATTAAAAATGCAAGTCACATAGAATATTTCGCAAATTTTTATTGAAAATTTTGTCACTAATTATTATGTAGCATACAGATTCTTATGCATTTAAAGATTCATTTTATTTTAATTTATTACAACCTGATAATAATATAAATTACTTAAATAACAAGTAATTAATAATTGATAATTATGTGGGAATATGTACTTCAAAAAGCAAAATAAATTCTGGAACTGAAATCCGTAAAATATGGGCTTTAATTTTAACAACGCAAATTTATTTAATTAGAAAAACAATATAATTTTATGCAACTTATTACATACTTATGTAGAAATTTAAAATCTTATTTTGATTATTTGCCAAATTTCCTTAACGTATACTTATTATATCTTCATAAAATTATATAATACATTGCGTTCGATACTGTCAAATTGACTGTCAATTACTTAATCAGCTGAGTTTATTGACGCTTACAAAGTTATTTGACATCCAAACTTTTGATTACAACTAATTGCGATATTTGTGAATGAGTTTTTCTTTAAAAAATATAAAATTAAATGTTATTGTACGAAAATTTAATATTATTTTGAACTTGAAATCAAATTGATATAAAACCATTAAAACTAAAATTTAGACAATTTTCCTGTAAGCAATATCAAATGCTAGACCCTTACTAATCGATGTATTGTTTAATGCACGCATAATCGATGTATTGTTTAATGTAGTGGTTTTCTAACATTAAATTTTAAAATATTTTTGCGTAAAATTAAGAAGCTATGGCTAAGCTTACATACAATCGCTTTTAATGGAAACATCAATGAAAATCTTCGTTTACCACTTTGATTTGTATATTAAATTTTTAAATCATATTTCCATTATTGACTACAGCTTTTGTTTTAGGTTTAAAGCTAAATTACTGGCGCTATAGCGTATAACATTAAAATTTTGATGAAAAATCGCATACATTTACATTTTACATTAACATTTTAAAAGGAAAATCATATATTTATTTTCTAATTTTTCAATAAAATTTATTAATTTAAGTAGTGGTCATAAATTTTATGTCCATTAAACAAAAAACAAAACAAAATTTGTTAGAATAAAATCAATTTTTTTACCATAAAAATTTTTTGTATTAGCGCCACTATTTAGGGTATAAAATGAGATATCGTTAGTGTTGTCTTCCGTATACTTCACATTATACACACATTCATATTGAGGTTATATTAAAAAGCAATAATCTTGTAAATCCATGAAAATAAAATAAATTATTGAATTACTATTTCAAGTTTACTACATTATCCTCGTTATAAAACATGCAACTGTTCAACAAGTTTTTATGATATTTTCTGGTCTTTTTAAAAATTCTGTAATAAACTCGGCTAAAGAAAAAGATACTTTGAACTCTGCAAGACATAATCGTATATTTTTTCTTCTAATTATTTTAACCGAGATATTTATGGAATCATAAATCTTAAATAAAACTTTTATTTTTATAATTTAACTATCTTTCGTTAACATTTTAGAAAAAATGAAAATTATTTTTAAAACAAAAAGTTTTATAAAAAAAAAAATTAATTAAATTTTATGGTATTTTTTTTAATTAACCAATGAGATTTGTTTTTTTTTTTTAATTCTGTTCTTTTAAATCTTTTAATGTATCAAATTGCTAATTTAATTTCAAATCACCCTGGGAGGGTTTACTCTTGCAGCTGGACTGTTCATCAAAATATTGTTTAAAGAATAAATTTATTTTTATTAGGCATTAAATTGTATAAATTAAGATTTTTTTTAATTAGACTGTTTTCGAAAATATCGTCACAGAAATTTAGTTTTTGGGACAACAAAAAAAACAATTAGGGAAAGTTATCAAAAATAATGTGAACAACAATGAGAAATCCACTTTGAATTTTCTTTTGAGGCAAGGTGGGCTCGGTGTGATTTCTGTTAAACTAATAAAAATTACCAATTTTTTTATTGTGGCTCTTCTTATAATCTCTTTAAAATAAAATATTACGAGTTACTTTTTAAGCAGTTTTACTCAAATCACTTAAAAAACAAATGATCTTTAAGTAATGATTAAAAAATTTGTTAAGGCATTTTAGAATATTTTAACCCGTGACGAAAATTTAGTTAAATATTAAAATATATTATGGCTAAATATCAAAATTATATTAAAAATAAAACAAAAAATATTAAAATTCTATTGAGTCCTCGGGGCTTCAATATCAGTTAAGGGTTAAGAATTAAAACGTTGTCCATATTGAGTCCATATTGAAAAACAGACTGCTCTGTAATTTTAAGAGTGAGGACATTAATTATAAATATACTACATTCAAGAATAATTAAGAACTATTTGGCACTTACGCTGCGAATAACCACGACCGTGTGTAACAGATTGGTTGAATTACGTGTTACGGCCTTACAGGAGCGTTGTACTAAAAATAACACTACCTATGTGTAGTGCAAAAAAACTTTAACTATACAAAATTATGTATTTATTTTTTTTAACAAATTATTACTATATTATTATTAATAATTTTTCAATTTTATTTATATTAATTTATGTATGATTTATAGGCAATAAAAATTATCTATATGTAAAATAAACCACATACATACATACGTATATACATATTTATGTATTACGTATTATAGTACCTTTTCTCTTTTGTTAGAATTAACATAAAATTTATGACTTAAATTTCAAATATGTTGCTATTACATAACATAAATCATTGATCGTTCTCTTATTTCTATATACTGTTTCAATTCCACTATTTTCCTTCGCTGTCATAAAGCAGTGCAATAGCAGTGCGGTAGCAGTGCAATTGTGTAGTATACCTAATTCACTTGTTCATTTACGTAGATTTTTAAATAAACTATTTTGATTGTGAGCATTGAACGCAATAAAAAATTGAACGCGTGCCCACCATATTTAAATTTTTTATTAATACAAGTTAAAATTAAAATTATATACAATAATTATTGATTTTATTGTTCTTATGTGAGTGAGTGCTGACTGCTATCATAACATTTAAATTTTTGTTGTCTTCAATAAAAAGAAGACCGGAAGTTAAAGAAATTTCACGTTTGTCAATTTAATTTTTCTTTTAAATTTTTCTTGTTAGCAATTTTCTTTAATTTTTATATTATAATTAAAGTTAAAGAATATAAAAATTATGTAGAAATGCATTTGTGTATTTCTATGTAGGTAAGTATGTATATATAGAAATTTTTTAAAATTCTTATTTTGTAAAATTGGAAAAACCCGAGAGAAAAATGAAATACTAAAAATTTTTTTTTCCTTTTTCTTTTAATTTTAAACAGGAAGGAAAGCATACGATTCTGTTATGAATGCAGATGATTTTTTTTTTCTGTTATTTTCATAAAATATGCAGTAATTATTATTTAACGCATTGTATTTTTTGTGTTGAAAATAAAATGAATTGCATATATGTACATACATACACATATACGTACATATGTTCATTAAAAGTATAAGAATGAGGGGGAAAGATACAACATGCTTGTTTCTTTCTTTGTTTTTGTTTTCATTTTTGT